ACCCTCAGACCGCTCTCTCGCAACACGACCATCCACTGCTCCACTCTTTTGGCTAGGCATGGCAAAGACGACTGCCAGAGTGTAGCATCATCAACAAACATGAGCTCAGTGATCTTTAGCCCTCTCAGCATCGGATCTTCCCTTGACCATCCATACCTGTTTGCCGTCTCCTCCAAAGTCCACTCAGCTAGGTTGGTGAAGGGCAATGGTGATTCAACTGCCCCTTGCCTGATCCCGTTGTTCAGCTGAAGGGTGGAGTCGCCCCATGCAGTATGCAGGTGTGCTTCCGATCGATTTAGCAGCCGCTGCCAACATCTGGCTTCGAAGCTTCTCCCAATTTTCGACTTGATGTACGCCATCAACGACGTCTTCGAGACGCAGTCAAATGCTTTTTCCAGGTCGATTTTCAGGAAACATAAACCGATCTTCCACTCACGTTCAAGGCTAAACAATTTGTGGACGGCATGGATGTAATCGATGGCCTGCTTGCCAGCTCCCGAGCACTGCGTCGATCCAATGGGAGTCATTTTCTTTTTCGATCGGTTGAGCAGCACTCGACAGAAAACCTTCGAAACTGATGAGGACAAGCATATTGGTCGGAGTTGCTTGGGCTGGGTAGGCCGGGCCGTTTTTGGAAGTATAATCATGAGTGCTGTGTACCAGTCATCAGGCAGCTCAGCTGTCTCCAACATCCGGTTAAACCAGTTAAGGAGAGCGCTCTCACCACCTGCAGCCTGCATGATCCCGTCCAATAGCTCCAGGGAAGTCCCGTCCTCCCCAACACTTTTTCCCCGCTTACCCTGACGGATAGCCTCCTGCAGTTCCCCCGGTGTGATGGGTTCAAAGGACCCCTCCGGGCGGAAATCAGTCAGGTCGGGCTGGCGGTCCCCATAGATACCCTCCAAGTGGTCGTGAATGCTCTTATGAGGATCACCCGGCTGACTCTCCGCAAAATGACACTCCCAATCACTCACCTTGTTCGTTCGGAGGTTCTTGTACCCCGACCACTCACCTTTCGCCACCGCTTCAACCTGTGCCTCATAGTGTTTCCTCTTCTCCTTCTTTCGCTCTGCAAAGGCTTTCTGCCAGTCACTGGGCTGTTTGCTGAACCGTGCCATGTCAAACAGGCTGCGAACCGAGGCCGGGTCTCTGTACCCCTTCTTGGACTTCGGCCCGGTGTACTCCTTCGCGAGGCGGGTGATCTCCTGTTGATCGAGTTCCAACACCTCTGGGATTTCCTTCACAACAACCCTCGGCTTGGTATTCGGGCGCCTGCGGTTTCTCAGTCCTCCGAAGAGCAAGCATGTCGAAAGAAGCTCGTGGTCCGTGCCCAGGATTCCGTGGCTCCCTACGTGCACCACAAGATCTCTGGTAGTAACCCTGGCGCTGGCAACAAAGTCGATCAGACGCCCCTGCCTGTCTCTTTGCCTCGGGCAGCTCGTTGGTGTGTCCCGTTGGTGAAGGCCTGGTGCAACAAGGTCCAGTGCCCTGGAAGCGAACTGAGTGAGAGCTTGATTGGTCTTGCCATTCTTGGAGGCAGCTTGTAGGCCTCGTTCGGGTACATTAAGCCACTGGAAGGGGGAGTTCAAATCTCCTCCGAGAACTACCGGGAGATGAGTGGAGGGAAGACTCGCCAAGTGCTCTTCAACCCTACGCTCATGTTCCACCTGGGTACAGTCAGGCTTGATGTAAACCGATCCAACCCAGATCTCCTGACCTACGCTCACATGCCGAAGACGGAACCACCACACCACACTCAGACTTCATCCTGCGCATGACGGTCCAGGACTTCTCCGAGACCCCAATACCTACCCCTCGCCACGCATTTTCATCCCTATGGGTGTAGAGCTTGAGCTTTTCGCAGGTCTGACTTTGCCATCCCACTTCACCACGAGGGACTTCCTGAAGTAACACAATGTCATTCTCGGTCACCGGTTGCCCCACGGCCTCGCCGAGAGCCTTGGAGAGGTCCGCAACACAAACTCCTCCAACATTCCAGCTAAGGACCCGGATTTCGACCTGATGGGCATCTTGCTGTCAGAAGCGGTGCTCGTCCACCATCTGCCGCACCACATCCCTCGTTACCCCCGCCTTGCTGGCTAGGCTCTTCAAATCGATCCACCCCGGTCCTGCCTTGGTGTCCACCTTGACCACCCCCTCGGTCGAGGGAGCCGCCCCCACTCCCGAAAGCTGGGCTTCATCCATCCAGGACATGCCGCTGGAATACTCCAGGTCCAGGTCATCCTTAGCCCCCGGTTTATGCGTCATCACCACCTTCTTCACGAAACCAGGAATGGAAGCCCTGCCTCGCTCTTCTGGCGTCCTACTGAAGGAACACCAAAGGGGCTTTTCTCCACCCACTAAGTGGGCTTGCGCTGCATTCACGGCATTGATGATTGTCATCATTCGTGAGCGTGTGTCACTGGCACTCTCCCTTTCCCTTGGCTGGAAATTGCACAAGGCAACCGAGCGCCTCGGACCTGTTGTAAAAGGCGCGGAGTCGAACTGCTGACCAATGCCTCATTTCTCCACCGCTTCCCGAAGCTGGTGCAGCACCACATGTCTGCGAGTTTGCTTCGCCCAGCCGCCAAAGACAAGGGTCAGCCGACGAGGGTCCTGAGGAGCAGACGAGGAGGCCTGCTTACCCGAACTCTCCACTCTCGCCATACGGTCTTCCAGATCCTTGATGGCCGTGTGCAGATTGTGGGACACATGGCTCTGATCGACGATACGCTTTTCCAGTCCTTGGAGCTTGGCGTCTTGTCTCGCCTCCAACTGCGTCAAGGTTGCTCTCTGCGCCTCCATAATGGTTGCACTCTGTTGCGCGAGAAGCTGTTGGATGGCCTCAAGAGTGACCCCCTCGGGAGCGGGCATTTTCACCCCCGTCCCAGCACCCCGAGCTCGCTTCGGGCTGCCTCGCCCTTCCGGTCCAGGCTCGTCAAAGTTGTCGTTGGGAACTGGCACCTGGTTGGGCAGACCTAGCTGAAGAGCCATCAGTTTTCCCTCCTGACACGCGAGCTCCCGGATAATCGCACCGCCAATGAACACAAGGGACACCAGGACCCGCCGATCGGACCTCCGAAGCCGAGAATCGGGCCCTCCGAGAGCACGAGCAGCCGAGCACGACAGAAGACTAAAACTGTCTCCGGGCCTTGAGCCAGGGTTTAGGGTTTAGGGTTTTAGGGTTTAGGGTTTTAGGGTTTAGGGCTTAGGGTTTAGGGTTTAGGGTTTAGGGTTTAGATTTTAGGTTTTAGGGTTTAAGGCTTAGGGTTTAGGGTTTAGGCTTCCGAAAGGAGCTGTTAAAACATGTTCTCAAGCAGTGCCTTTACGGACTTGTGTGGTAATCAGAGGCCCTTTACATTCTGGGTTTGGAGCAGAGCCAAGGGCAAAGTGAGTGCCAGGAGTTGAGGGTTTCAGGGTTTTGGGGGTTTTAGGGGTTTGGGGGTTTAGGGTATTAGGAGTTTATGATATTGGGGTATGGAGGCCTTTGGGTTTGGGATGTTGCGGGATGCTTTAGGGTTTAAGGGTCGGGGGTTAGGGTCTCAGGTGGGGGGGGGGGGGGGAAAAGACGAAACCACTACGGACTGAGCCAGGCAAGCTCGGTGCTCTGCGTGCCCACTGCATCTGCTCGCGCTGGAAAGCTTGCCCTTGGCCGATCTCCACGAACTGGCCCAAGTTGGCCTTGTAGCAGCTACTGCACAGCAGTAGTAGTAGTAGTAGTAGTAGTAGTAGTACTACTACTACTACTACTACTACTAGTAGTAGTGGTAGTAGTAGTAGTAGTAGTAGTTGTTGTTGTTGTTGTAGTTGTATTTGTAGTTGTGAGTAGTAGTTTGAGCACTGTAACACCACATCTTCGCAAGCTTCGGATGACCGTTCAAATTGAAGTCAGGCCAAGGGCCAGATGGCCGATGCCATTGAGGAGCGTCGCGCCCGCGACGAGCGACATGGATTCTGCTCCTCAGAAGCTCGAAGGCCCGACGTTACAATTCCACCGTCAGGTAAGCCAGGGCGACTTTGCTACACCTGTGCAGACCTCAGCGTCCGGCAGCTCTTCGCAGAGCCAGGTCGGGACTTTGCCGAATTCCTGCGAACGTGTATGTCCACTAGAAGATGAGTGGCGAGCACTGCATTGCTTGACCGGACCTCTACAACTACAATCCCCGATGCATCGGCTCACCGCCAAACTCACTCTAGGCAACGACTTCCTCAAGTCCATAACGACCCGTGCTTTCTCTGACACTATACGAGGCAACCTTGGCTCCTACACGCTGTCCATCATAAGGAACTGAACTCCGGAGACAACCCCAAGCTCCTCCGAACTTTGCGGAGCCGTCTGCAGAAGTGGCCCATGGAGGGACCAGATGCAGGAACAATCTCGTCAGGAGTTGGCTGATCCAATGAAGCTGGTTGCAGCAGTCCAGGGATCGTCTAGGAAAACCTCTGAAGTCTCAGTTTCAGGAGTTGAGGCTATGAGTCTATCCGGGCGCTCAGGTCTTGAGGCTTTTGGGATGCACTCCAGGGTTTCGGGGTCAACAGCCGGGCAAATTTTCGCCATGAGCCTTAGAATGCTACAGATTCCTTGAGCACTACATAACGATCAGAATCGCTGCGATGGAGGGTGCGAACAGGTCAAGCGCAGCATGAAGGCAATGGCAGGCAAATCATCTTAGCCCTCCCGCGATTGCCGCAGTTCGAGCAGCAATGACCCTGTAGAAGCCTATCGAGTGAAGCACCTACCTGCCACAGACGACACGAAGAGTGGCCTAACCCCTCAACTCTGAACCATGCCATCCTTGCTGTAGGACCCAACCTGGGCAGAAGGAGATCTTGTGAAAGAGCTCTGACTAAATCTACTTGACTACGGCTGTTGTCACGAAAAGGGAATGAATGCCCGCTTCAACCCGAAAAGCACTGAAAACGAAACCCTGAATTCTAACCCTAAACCTTAATCCTGCCGAACCTTAAACTGTGATCATTCTGGTCCTCAACCTGCTCTGATCTAAGCTTCTATGGAACTGCCGGCTCCCGTGAAAGGCCGCGGCATGCTGTGCTTCCAGGCTTTTCGGCTCTGCGACAAGAGTCAGTCCTTTGATGCGGCGTCCGTGGATGTGTGTCTGCCGGGTCATTGCCCAAGCCACTAGGGTCTGCAAGGGGTCTGCACCGAGGCACACTTACAACATGCCAAACTTCCCTCTGCTACTTCACGCCCCCCCACTTCAAGGCGGTGGATGACATCCCCACTAAATACACGCTAAAGTTTTTGCCGCCTATGCTGTTGCTGCGGCCGTCAATCTCCCATGCTTCAAAGCTTGCATGGTCTTGCGTCGGGGCCTCGAACCCGATGCCAGCCTCTGTGGGAAAGCTTGTTGTACCAGCCGCGCGGATTCAAAAGCCGCAGTCTGGCCACGTGGCGAAGAGGATGTCCTCGGTGCTCCTGACCCAATTCCTACCTGCGGAGCTAGCAGCGGCTCCGTAGGTAGGAATTGGGTCAGGAGCAGGTACTCCTTCAGGCCGAAGATTGATCCTGTTGGGGTGTGGAGCACCCACTCGCTGGAAGTGTCGAGGATGAAGCTACGCTTGCTCGGCGAATGCCATTTGCAGTCTTCTTTGTCCTTTGTCAGATTTGCCCATTCTTCTGCGGATCGCATTTTGTCCACCTTGTGGATCTGATGGCGCCTCCAGGCGCAGGGGTTTACCGGCTCCTTTAGGCTTGGCTTTTCGACGAAAGCAGCACGGCTCTCCAAGAAACCCTTCGGCTTCAGGAGCGTTTGGAGTTGAGGGCTCTGGGGGTGGTTTGGGAGTTTAGGGCTTACAGGGCCTATACCGGCCTCTTCGCAGGCAGCTTCAGCTGGAAGGCCTCGGGCACTCTTTTCGGCCCCCTCGAAATCAAAATCCATTCTACAACCCCTCACACTAAGTCACTAGGACTCGCGAGCCTAAACCCTAAACCCCTAACAGAAGGACTTCCCCGAAAAAGAAACTGCTCCAGACCACAAACTAGGACAGCTGAGTTGATGCTTGGGGTTTAAACGCCTGAACCATCTGAACCACGGGCCCTAAACCCTAAAAGCCCGTAACTCAGACCCCCAAACCCTAAACCCCCAAACTCTGAAACCCCAAAACTCCTATCTAAAGCAGACCGGAAGCCTCCTCGCCAGCACTCGCCGGCTGGCGGCAGGTGGCGCGAAGCGGCGCTAGGCTTTGCACCTTGTCAGGTCCCGGTGTTTGCTTCCTAAACCCTAAAACCTAAACCCGAACCCCTAAACCCTAAACCCTAAAAGCCCAAAACCATATTGATTTTCTTGAAAATCCCAATCGTGAGCCCTGAAGCCCCAAACCTAAAGCATCCCGTGAATCCTGACCCCTATAAACTCTAAACTTCCTAAACTTGAGCCCCAAACCCGAAACCAAGACCGCGGACCCCTACACCCTGAACTCTGAACCCTAAGTTCTCTGAAGGCTCGGGCTCTTTCTGCGCGAGCTATTTTTGCAGGCTTCGGGGCTCGGGGAGGCTCCGGGGTCCCGGGCTGCCCTTGTCCCTAAACCCGAAGTCCCATTGGATTTCAAAAAGTCCAAACGACTCAAGGTTTGTTGTTTCTAAGTTAGGGCTTACATGGCTTCGGCTTTCTGAATCCGGCACTTTCCAGGTTGTGTTGGTGCAGGAACGTCCTTCTATCAGGGTTGAGGCTTTAGGGGTCGTGCTTTTCCCGGGAGTTCCTCTGATGGCTCAAACAAGAAGAAGGATTTCAAAAATTATGAAGCTAACAATTACGAAGTTTCTCGGCTCAGTCTGGCTTGGTGTCCCGGAACCCTCGACCTTAAACCCTGAGCGCCTGGAGGCACCGTGAGATTCAAAAGGTGGACAAAATGAGATCAGTACACATCAGTACAACAGCGGGCAACTCTGACGAATGGCATCTTTGCCATTTGTCAGCTTTGCCCACTGTGGTACTGGGTTGTACTCATGTTATTTGTCCCACCTAAATGGCATTCGCCAGGCAAGCGTCGCTTCCTGGACGACATGTCCCGCGAGTGGGTGCTCTGCATACAAGTATAGGGCACTACTATATATACTTCATTTAATGTTTCAATCTTCTGGAAGCCTGGCACACTCCAGTTCTCGCTAGCAGTTCACGCAGTGACGGACAAATTGGCCTTTGATTTGGCAAATGGATTCAATCAGGACCAGGCCAACAAGCAAAACTCAAAACTCATGACGGAGTGCCATCCCGGGCCAAGGGCCTCAAGATCCTGTCAGGGCTTACGGAGCTCAGAAAGGATTTAGGGGCTGAGTTCTCCATCCAGGGGCCATCATGTCTGCATCAAGAGGGCCATGACCTTAAACCCCAAGTGGAGGAAACATCAGTGCCTCTGCTTGCACACATTAGCAAGATTCAGCTCGATTTTGCGGCAACAGCGTCAATTCCAGTCTGATCTAGCACATTCTGCGCTGCCAGTGGAAGGATAAGGGTCGCGCGACCGCTTTAATTGCTGGTTCTATATATAGAAGGTGGACAGTATAGGCAGCAGGT